TGGGCTTAGGGTCATACCTTAACCTTGACATATCTTACCCCCAATATATCTTACCCCAGGTGTTAAAGCACGCACACTGTCTTGGACACTACAGTCATTCTCATCAGGGATGATGATTTTTTGTGTTTCACATAATTTCACAGATTTCTGTGATTTCTGTGATATAAGAAGAAATCATGTTACATCACCACAAAAATTCACAAAAAATAGGTTACATCACAGAATTTAATTAAAGTTGCATACTATACCTTATTTTGAATAGTATTTACATATTTGTTTGCATATTTTGATGTTTTAACTGTTATAATTATATATTGTGTGAGAATATTTTTATTACTTTAACAAATAATGACTTCACAACGTCTTAAAAATTCAGTGGTGTCAATTCATTCTCGAATCAGAGAATATCCTAAAGTTTTTAGAAATGATTCTGGAATAATTTTTTGTATTTATTGTGACAAATCTATTAAATGGAAACACAAATCAACAATAGACAGTCATGTCAATAGTATTAAGCATGAATCAAATAAAAGAAAATACAAAGCTAAACAACAAGTATCTCACCAACAAACCCTTCAAACTACACTTAGAGCAGCAGATTCCAAAAAAATTGTAATAGAAGATTTAATTGAAGCATTTGTTGGTGCTGATATACCACTTCAAAAGGTTGATAAATTGCTCCCCTTTTTCAAAAAGCATTTAAGAGAAGGAGGTGCAATTCCAAAAGCTCCAACTCTAAGACAAGTATATCTTCCAAATATTTTTGAAAGTCATTTTTCTTCTCTTAAATTGCTATTTGATTCTAAACCAGTTTCTATTATTATGGATGAAAGTTTAGATGATTGTGCTCATAGTGTAGTAAATACTATTTTTGTATACCACAATTACACCAAGCTTGTTTCAGTTGATTTTTAGATAAAGTCAATAATTCAACAATTGGCCAGACACTTTTTTACATCTTAGCAAAATACAACATACCTTTTGATAAGCCAATTGTTTTTTTGTCAGACTCTGCTGCATATATGAAAAAAAGTTTTCGTGAGGTATTACATCCTGTTATGAGACAATTAATTCATCTACCATGCTGTGCACATATTATGAACTTGATTGGGTAAATTTTTTTATTTAATTATAATAATTACAATAAATAATTACAATAAATAATTACAATGAATATAATTTTTTTTATTATATAGTGAAACTTGGATAAAATTTCCCCAATTTAGTATTGTAAAAAAGTTTTTACAAAATATTAAAGATGCTTTTGTGAAATCAGCTGCACAAAGACGTCAGTATATAACTCATCTTAAACATCATGGAATAGTATCACCATGTAAAATACCACTTCCTAATGCAACAATATGGAATTCATGGTTTAAAATGGTATTATATACAAAAGAATATATCAACTACTGGCCACATTTTTTTGAAAGTGAATTGCAAGAAAATTCTAATAATACATTATTAGAAATTCATAATACTTTACAAAATGAACATGAAAGAGGCATTATTACAATTTATGTTTATTTCATTTCAATTTTTTCACAAGAATTTATTCAAACTCTTGATTTTTTCCAACAAAAAAATCTACCAGTATTTCCTTATATTGAAACAAGACTCCAGCATCTTACAGCATATTTAGAATCAAATAGAACTGCTGAAAATTTTGGCTCAGGTCTTGATGAATTAATTCTTAGCCTTCATTTTGTTCCTAGAGATTTTTATCCAATTTTTCGTGCTGCATTTGAAGCTGCATTTTTAAAATTTTCTTTACATATACCTAATCATCCAGCACGTGAATTATTTTGTGCATGTAGAGTTTTTGATCCTGTTTTTATTCATCTGGGAGATATTCAATGAAGAAACATTAGACTTTATTCTACAATTGTACCATTTAACAATCCTTCACATAATCTTTTGTATGAATGGGGCATATATTGTGGATTGGAAACTCCACTGATTTAGGAGAAAATATGATTGAGAAGTTTTGGTTAGATAAAGTGAATGAATTGCCAATTCTGTCTAGCATTGCATTAGATTATATTTGGCTACCAATTTCCAGTTGTACAGTTGAAAGGAGTTTTTCTTTTTACAATACCATCTTGGATAATAATTGGCAAAATTTGTCTCAAGATTCTTTAAAAATATTAACTATGATGCATTTTAATTCAAATTAATTAACCTTCCTTCTTTATGTTTATTATATATCTTTATCTGTTATAACATAATAAACATTGGTTTATATTAAATTATCAATGTATTTTTATCATAATATTGCCACATAATTTCACACATTTACCAAAAAAGCACCACAAAACTTCACAAATTTTGCAAAAATGAGATCACATAAATTCACAAATTTAGGCTTGAGCACAAAAACATTTTACCATATGTCACAGGAAAAAATCATCGTCCCCACTGTTCGAAATTCAATCGGCGGAATCGGCGCGCACTAACCAAATATGGAAATTAACCGCAGATAATTTCTAAAA